GTTTTTAAAATTTATTTATTAAAGGTAGCATCCATCATTTGTAATATGTGCATTATGTTCGTTTGAAGCAACACAAGTGCTCCAATTCTAAAGAAGGGGGCTGAACAACTAACCTGATGAAGTTTCAACTCAGTGAATGCTGTATATTCCGAGAAAACAATATTCAGGATCTCAATTTTAAATCAAAAGTTGCTGAGTCATATTTTTAATTTGGCCTGAATTCAGCGTCCGAGACACGTTCTCACTGAGCCGATTGCAGCTACGCGATGTCGCGCACTGAACCAATGAATTAAAGCCACCGTTCACGTGTGTGTTGTGTCAATGCTTGTGCGCGCTTTTCCGAATAAACAAATTAGACGAATCGTTGGAAAGGCCTTCTTTCATTGATTTTTTTCAAAATGACGGCTTGCAAGAAAGAATAATTTCACAGGGAGTTTAGTCCCATTACTATCTTTAAACCAAGTAAGCCTTTCAACAATAATTACGTCAGTTACTTTTGGGATAGCTGTAAATGATGGACTGTATTTTAACTGATCTATTTTCTGGGGGGGGGGGGGGGAAGCGGCAACTAATAAAGTAAGAAAAGTTACAATGTCAGTAAAATCTTGCAATCTGTTTCACCGTCACATTGTACAGCAACACAATGTGTTTTTCACTAAGTATTGATTAATAATAAAACTGAGTCAAAAAGATCGCGGAAGATATTTCAAAATTAATTTAAAGAATGTATGTGCAGCCACAGCATACATGTAGACAAATCCAGGCACATAATCACTCTACACTCACGGCACCCCCTTCAATGGAAAAACCATTGTGTACGCTATTGAATTTGTCATCTGCACCACGCACTGACATTCAGTTGCACGTGAGTGCGCTGCTTACAGAACCGGGTTATTTTGTGTTTCACGAACTGACGTCCTCCACAGTGCGGCACTTTTAGAGCGCACCCCATACTTTTTCGGTTTCACGAACTGACACTGACCTTTATTTCACCAATTAAAATGCTTTTTAATTTAATTGTTTGTGTAAGTACACAGGTAGGCCTATATATGGATGGATTAAATTTGTGTAATAACCTTTCAAACCGTTTTTCTCCGTTCTGTATACATTTGTAGCCACATCATGCTTGGGTGTTAGTTCGTGAAAACGAAAATCTTCCTATGTTGCATTAGTGTGAATGTGCATGTGCACTATCGGGTGTCAGTTCGTGAAACCGAAATTGTTGATTACGTGGTTTTCACAAACTGACACCCGCTTGCGCGTGAATGTCAGTTCGTGGTGCCGATGACGAATTAAGGAGCTCTTGAGCTCTTACCAGGGAACATATTTTGTGCAACTTTCTATTCTTATATGTATGAAATCTATTGCACACCCCTTTTTGGTTAATTTTATCAAAAAGTGCACTATTTTAACATTTAAAGTTTCCATACTTTTCCTAACTAATGAGGGCGCTTTTGCTGTGATGTAATTTCAGGAAGACACTTCACTTTAGGGCTTCTGTTCAAATTGTGAAACCAAAATTTGCTCATTGAAAACCTAAACAGGTGAGAAAACTTTGCTCATTGGCTTACTGTCATGTACCAATACAACAATGCACCAAAGGAAAGAAACTTTACGACAGCAACATTTCCAAAGTTCTGGCAAATTTTGGTGCTCAAATTACATCACACTTTTGCTCATGAATATGGAATTTTGCATAAGCATAAAAACCAGAAAAGGGCTCCAAAATGCCATTAAAAATGCCAGATGAAATGGAAAATTTGGGACACAATGGTGCATTTTCAAGGATTGCATTAAAAATGACATTGTATGGGTCAATTAGTACCCCTTAAAACCCTAACCTCACCTAAAGCTAAAAAACACTAACTACTAGTAAACTGTAGTATTGTATAAATAAGTGTGCACAAACTCATAGTATTCTGTAGTACTCCGTTCTTTATCCCAAAGGGCAATTCCACGGTTACTCACGTTACATTTTTTAGTTTCCTTGGGCTGTAATTACCTTACTGAAAAGGTTTAATAACTGTTATCCGCATGGTAGATAGAGTAGACCTAGACCTACCTAAGCACCAAAGATGACATCCAGGAAAATGTGTTATGTATGATAAACAAGATGCACAAAATCAGTTACTCACGTTACGAAAATGTAACGTGAGTAACCGTGGAATTGCCCATAAGTAATGGTTAGGATGTTAGGGTTAAAGTACAAATATTTTGGTTTCTGCCCTCGTGTTGGATTTTGGAGGAATTGGGATGGTTCCAATGAAAGAATGCCTTGGGAGTTGAGCTACGGCATAAAATGAGGCACCTTCTCCCCCCGGCCCCTCCCCAGACTGTTCCACCCCCCCCCTTTCGTAGCTACGCCACTGGAGTTATGGATAAAGTTAGTCACAGTATACCTGTCCTTAAAATAAATCCTTGATTAGCCACAGTGCTGTGATGTACATGTATACCACCTGGCTGTCCTTTATGATTAGCTGAATGTTATGCATTACATCTGTCATCACCAGATATCTGCTCTAAGACGAACTATCCATGAAATTACTTCACCTCATTACCGATGGGAAATTATCAATTTGCTCAGAATAATCATTGGAGAGCTTGTTCCAATCTTGCTTCATTTCCCGATGACTGCATCGGATTTCCTCGCCAAATTAAGGGGAGTCGGTGGGGGAGGGGATAACATATCCTGTTCATAACGAGCTGATCAGTGGGTCTTCCTATACTCTTCAAAAGACTTTATCGATTTTGAGGGCAAGTTTTCAGCTTCTCAGCATTTTTCATATGCTTCCCTTGTGCTGATTTATGCCATCAATTCTGATGTTGTATACTGCATGCATGTGCTTTTTCATTGCCATAAACATTTTTGCAGGCATGACATTTTTAAGACTTTTTTCCCTGAAATCAGACATTTTTAATCTGAGAGAAAGACATTATCAGTTAAGAAAGAAATGCATCTTTCAGATCTTTCATCCCATTTTCAGACTTTTTTTTTAAATTGACAATTAATCTCCTTTGTTTCTGTCACTGAATCACCACATCACCTTCTTGTAATTTTGACCAATTGTGTATAAATTACTGTCTGTTGCCTACGAAATTGAAAAAAAACTAAATTCTACATTATTGAATTTTGTCAAATGAACATCAGTCCCAGCAAAGAGCTATCAGTGTAGGGTATACTGTGTTATTTTCTTTACAGATTTTGATGAGCTTCTATATGTTTGGCACTCCTGTTGTGTTCCGTTTTGTTTGTCCTTTTCCCTTTGTCTGTCTGTGCATACGTCTCTCTATACTGTACACTTATTAAACCTGTCCGTACACTTGACCCCAATTAATTAAGCTGAACTGCTTGATAATGGACTTTCTGCATTTCTTGAAAATAATGTATTCTAGGCATATTTAATTTGTGTAATGAACTATGGAAAAAAGAATGTAAAGATTGATTCAAACAGGTTTTACTTTAATGTGTAGGCCTACAATGTAAGGGTGATCAAAATAAAGAAAAACTGTAGTTTTAGCCCAAAAAAATAGGAAAAAAAAAGATTTATAAGTCTAACAGCAGATTCGTGTGTGAATTTGATAATTAAATTTTCTATGAACAAAGAGCAGCATTTCCAGTCGTCAAGACAAAGGGCCTGCAATGGTGTATTTGCACACAATCTCCCATAAGGGCTATGACTCAATGCAGATCCATACAGTCAATATATAAACACTTGATGATGCCGGGTCCCGGGGGACTTTCAGGAGTCGAGATTATAATATTATCGTGTTGGACTACGAGTTGCAGGAGCACTTGAAAAAAAAATGGCAATGACTGGGCTCCATCTGACAAAATTAGCATGAATGATCTCAAACAAAGCCTAGTCTAGCTTGATGGTCACTTGTCATTGCTCACTAGTTAATTAATGAGGACACCTGCTCAATACCTTCTGTTGTAATGGTCCTTACTAGTTTAATGGATTGCCAATTTTGGAGGCACTGCAAATCATTCATGGTAATATGTGGAGTAAATGTTCAGTTTCATGTTGTTCAATTGATGCTGTTTTTAAAGGTAGAGTAGATCATTTGTGGCTATCCAAAAAGTAACTGACGAATGTTGAAAAGCTTACTTGGTTTAAAGATAGTAATGGCACTATAAACTCCCTATGAAATTACACCTTCTGGCATGCTGTCATTTTGAAGAAAACAATAAAGAAGGCAATTTCCAAAGATGGGTCAAATGACACATTTTTGGAAATTTCCGTTAGTAGTCGGTTTGTAATTCGGCGAATCTGTGAACGGATGCACACAAGCGTTGATACGATGCACGGTTGCTATTATTTGCCGGTTCAGTGCGTGACGTCGCGTAGCTGCAATCGGCTGAATGAGAACGTGTTCCGGTCTTCCGGATGCTGATTTCGGGCCCAATTCAAAACATGACTCTGCAACTTTTGAATTAAAATTGAGATCTTAGAATATTACAACATACATACAACATGTTTAACATGATTATTTTGACTTTACTTACTATTAGGAAAGCTAATTAAAAGCTGGCGGTCATTTTGAACCTAAGTTGACGGCCATTTCGAATTTAAATACTTGCCGGCCATTTTGGGAAAAAAAATTTAAAAGGCCCTGATCCTCTTTTTGAAAAAATAAAACCCCGGACGATCAACTGTTTTTTTTTTATTATTTGGCTTGACACTGCAATTGCCCAAAAGCAGAAATCTTACACTTAAGAAAAGTTCAAAGATCTTAAGATTTTATAAACTAATAGACACTGGCCTATCCTGAATTTTTGTGAGATTGTGACTACACGTTCTCTTTAGCGAGCAATCTAACAGGTCAGGTGATAACATGTTGACCTTGCGTTGCTTTCTTTTTCCGCTTCAGAGTCACGACGATAAAGCACAAAAGACAAGTGTAAGCTAGCTTGCACACTCAAGAAATCATAACGTGTGAATGTAATCAAAAGTAACTGATTGCTATTACATGACTGTTTTAACTTCTTTTGATGGTAGGTTCTCACACTGAAGCAAGTACATTGGAGAAAGAATTTGTTGCCCAAAGGTAAGAAAAACGTAGGCTACGGTGTATTCTTCTACCGTACACGTACAATGCATGTACGTAACATCTAAACCTGATTATTTTTCTATTTTTTTGTAGTTCGGATTTGTCTGCAGTGTACATGTACGTACAAAACGAAACTGAAGTAGTGTGCACAGATGATATTTCAGAAAAAAGTAATTAGTCATTGTCCAGTGTTGTTGGTAGGCCCGTCGCCAGCCCTGAGCATCAAGGGGGGCCATAGTACCAACTAGAGGGCCCACTACCATAACAAATACAAAAATACATATGTATGGCTTTTGCCGTGGGGGGGGGGGGGCAATTACTCGCCAAGGGGGGCCGGCCCCACCAGGCCCCCCCCCCCTGGCAACGGGCCTGTTTGTTGGTCTGAGAAGCCCACAAAATTTTCTAAGCTTGATCAGTAAATATTTGAGGAGGAAAAACTCTTGCTCAAAGTGAAGAAAGGCCGTTTTGTTGCTTTAAAAGGAATAAACAACATTTGCAACCATCAAAAAACAAAACTACCAAATTGTTATGAATTACCTTACTGGACTTTAGTGAATGACAGTCTAAAGCATCACATTACATCATTACACCCGGTGTGCTGACATTTTCAAGAAAAGTGGTACTTTTGTATCTATTTTCAAAATGAAAAAACTGGGTTTTTTTTCAAATACTGCCCTCAATTTACCATGTTTAGTTGTTAGCTTTAATCTGAATTTTATTTGCAATCTATTGCACATCTATGAACGAGTACAAGCCTAGACTGGTTCCCTAACTTACAATTCCTCGACATTTATCCATTGCTTCACTTCAATTTAAGTGGGGTCAGGGAACCAGACTACAAGAACAAGATGGTTTTTCCCGCAGCTACAAACACAAATATTCAAACAAGTCAGTGTAACAATATTTTCTATAAAATACTAACCCCCAAATCCATCCATTTCTGAAAATTACAGCAAAAGCAAATGTTGTATATTCCCTTTCACCCTAACCTCATCTAAAGCTACAACATACTACTAGTAGTAATCTGTAGCATGCAGTACTTCAGCATAATTATAAGTGGGCACAGCACTCAAAGTATTGTTTAGTATTTGGGTACTGCATACATAATTTCTGTAATACTATGTAGTATGTGGTACTTTACCCCAAAGTGAGCTTTAGGGGGTTAGAGTTTAAAAGCAACAACAAACAAACAAAAACAAACCTAAAAACCAAAAACACATGGCAGACTGCTTTAAGCATATCGACAGCAAATAGATTGTTCATGTTCAGAATAAATCACATTATCTGTTTTCAACTTTCAATTTCGATTCCTATTGACAGACTATGGACGACGCATTTGAGTTGGTGAACGAGCACTTGGAGAAGGCTATTTACGCCAGCGTCGCACTAAATTCCAATGGAATTGCCTCTGAATCCTTGGAGGCTTGAACCAAACAAGTCTTGGAGCGATCAACGCTGAGCCCGGCGTACACGTAAGTGGCAAATTACCTTTTCCCGGGTGAATCCGTCTTGATCGCCGAACCAAAGTGGCCAAAAGTGTCGTGAGCGCGAGCTGCGTGTTGCTTCAGTAAACACATGCAGTGAGCTTTAATCTATTGGATGTGTGTGTGGAGATCCTTCAAAATCGTGTGCTGCAAAAAAAGGAACCAAAAAGGGCCTTTAAAGTGTCGTGAACTAGTGCCTTCGCACTGTTTTCAACCTTTGAACAGTGAACGTGAACTTGCTTCTGTTTGGTTCACCGTACAAGTGTTGTGACTTCAAAAGCTTCAGTGATTTTACCGTTGTACTGCATAATTTGCCCGTTAAAACTCTCTGTATCGGAACATAATTTAAGTCCTCATGGTCATTCTTGCAGTGTGCTTGGAAGTGGCAATCAGTTTTTTTTTTCAAAACGTTTGTCGTCAACCTTTGATAAATTTGACGATTCAATCTCTGAATCACAGCATTTTAGTTCTGATGAACATTCCTGCAGTGTGCTACAATTTTATAGTTTTTTTATATAAAATGTGAATCATCAACTTGATATACATGTCATTTGTGGGAAAACTCCCAATAGTGTGCTGCAATTAATGTTTGATATATCTCATCGAGAGGAACATCACTCATTTTACTTTTTATAAATAAAATGACCGACGTTGAAAGTTCATATGCTGCATCAACACGTCCTCACAAAAATTGACTTTGTTTCTGGACGAGTAGAACTCGCGTGAGCGACACAAACTGATCCATACTCTTAATCAAGTCACCAAGTCACCAGTTAGAGCCGTCAGGATTTCAAGAGAACAATCAACAGAATCCAGCAGACAGATGACGTCATGGTCTGTTGATCTGTGAGCAAGCTGTGATGTGTTTGCTTCAACTACGTGCCTGAAACTCACAATGGCCACCACCAAGATGCCTTCTTGTACTGAACCAGAGCGACCGGTAAGTACAATTCTTTGATTGGATGTCTTTGTTGACACTTGCACAATTTTGCTTGTTTTGTTTGTTTGTTTGTTGTTGTTGAGATTCTACATTATTTTCCATTTCCAAGAGCCGTTTTAAAAATAATAATAATAACTGGACTTATAGAGCACCAAACTGCCAAAGGATACAAGGTGCTTATTATTACCCCTGCTCATCGGGCCAATGAAACATTCCGGCCAAATACCATCTCAGCTCCCTGGGGAGTATACAGCTGGATGCTGCCATTTCGGTGCAAAGCAGCTAAAATCAACCACAATAACCATCTCTGCCCTCACAGGAACTCATTTACTCCTGGGTGGAGAGAAGCAATGTGCTACAATGTGCCTTGCCCAAGGGCACACGCCACCCTAGCCACAGGCTGGACTCGAACCCACAACCCGCGGAATTACCAACAGACCACTAATTCAATGCTCCAGACCACAAGGCCACAGCACTCCACAGCACTCCGTTATTGGTATATTCCCAAGTAACATTCCATAATGTTCCTTCCAAATACCAATATCAAACAGTAAAGACTGATTCATACGAAATTCACTTCACTTTTGCTATTGCTGGATGTACATGCATGAACCAGTCTTTCTGCCTGACAATAAAACATTCAAAAAATAATTTGACCTTTTATGAGCCATTAAAGATGGTGATGAGGATCTACAAATTTTCTGCATCCACCACAGTAAAAAGTTGTCTGAGTATCACCCGTTCTCCAAAGAGCCCTGTCTCCGGTCAAACGTCTGATATATCTAGGAATGCAAATTTATCCAACGCCGCGTGCCAGCCAATCGGAGTCGACGTTACTAGTTTGTGACATCATTTCACTCCCAAATCAGAACTAAAACTGTGATTGGTCGATTTGGATGCAGTGTTTTTGAAATACAACAACGGCTGAGAGCGCACAGATCTACAAAACCTAGACACGAATGTCATTGGCTGGCTGTATTATTGCTGGCATATCTCGTAACATATCGTCACAGAGAGCGTGACCGCAGACTTCGTTGCTCAATTCACAGCGTGTCTAGGTTTTATTTGTAGATTTCCATGTCGAGACCCGATATAGAATGCGCCCGCTGATTGGTCAGAATCTAGAGGTCAAAAGGCTGTTGTCGTGCATATCAGCAAATCGGCTCACATATGATAGACCCCTGCGAACATAGACTTAGTAAAAAGAGGAGGTGTTGAATTTTTTAATAATGTTGGTTTTGGGAGATATATTTTTTTCCCTTTTGTTGTTACAAATGTAAACGTTCCAGTTTGTGCAAATAGTTCATCAAAATAGCTTATGCTCATTTAATTAAAAAAGAGTGCGAGGAGACACAAGCATACTCGCCTAATAGTAATAAGCGATGTACCAATAAATGCCAAGTCTAAACAAAGGTTCATAAAAAATAGAAGCTGTTCTCCATAAAATAAGTATAGCGCCCTCTCTTGTCCACAGTCATTATTTTTTTCCAACTAATAACTGTTTATTTGGTAGTAGTATGGCACTGTTGTGGTCAATAGAGGTGGCATGCTATTTTTGTTCTGTTCAGTGTGGATTTAGCACTTAAGGGCTGATTACCAAACCATAATTGAATGGAAAGTAGAATGTGTGTCAGACTTTATTGAAATTGATAAGGAACGGTATCCTAAATGTGAAATTATGCAAGAGTGTGTAGCGCCGGTTCATTTCGTTTGAGCATTGTTATGTGGAATGTCACCTCTGAAAGAGGTGTGAACGGTATTTCTGCTACCGCGTTTTAGATATCCGCCCTCTGTTCGCGAGGTTTGTCTAACTCCTCCGTCCGCACCGCAGGGTTAAAATGTCAGGTCTTGGAGTCAAGTACCAATGCAAACTATTGCAGCGCATGGCTGGCAATATTACCCTATATCATTCATTGGCTGGGGGGGGGGGGGGTGTTTAAGTGTCACACACACGCCCCCGCTCATCAGGCCAACACCTTATGATAACATGTCCCAGTCTAGGGTGCTATGATGCACCTGACTCTCTCCACATCTGGTTTAAAGGGCGGCTACAGAATTGGAGCAATTTCCCAGTACCATATAGCAGAGTCTTTTTTTTTTTCATCAACTGTTCCCAGATTTTGCTAGTTTCAGAAAAATATCAAAGCTAATGTACAACATTTGCAAGAGGGTTTCTTTACTTCGAGTTTTGAGTTGACTTTTTGAGTTTCGAGTTGACTTTGCGCGTTTTGAGTTAACTTTTCGAGTTTTGAGTTGACTTTTCAAGTTTCGAGTTGACTTTTCGAGTTTTTGAGTTGACTTTTCTAGTGTTTCGATTTGACCTTTTGAGTTACAAGCCTTACTGTATAGAGTAGCCAGTTTTCGGAACTTGAGTCTGAAAAGATTTATTTGCAAGCTGGTTTGTGTTCTTTTTGTCTTTAATTTTCATAAAACTGTTGGCCGGTTTTTGTTTAGGTCCAAATGAAAAAGGGGGGGGGGGACACCTAAATATAAAAAACACATCTGCTTGTCAAAAAACTCAAACTTAAAGTTTACTTTCACTTTTTCAATTCTTTTTATTTTGTTGTTAATTAATGAGGGACAATTTAAATTTTTTGCTATAGTTGGTTGAAAAAAAAATCACTGTTGACCCTTTATTTAAGTTCAGGCATTTGGCAAGTTAGCTGACTCTCAAAAGTTGGAATTAAAAGAATTTTGAGTCATACAGTTTGGATAATAAAAGTTTCATTTGATTGACTTGCTAAGTACTGATCGACAAAAAACCCAAAGCAAAACAGTGGCAATAATTATGTTGTGCAAGGACACCATATGGCTGAGCCAAGTATTCCCAAGTGACATGTTCTTAGACAAAACAAAAGAAACTTTGAAGGTAGAACAAAAAGTTGAAACTGAATGAGACCTGCTCTTTGTTTATTTGGCTAGGAAGACTGCCTCTGGGCAGGGCACTGGTGGGGACAAGCATCTAATGATATGGCAATTATACCCAAAGTCAGGGAAATTCTGGGTGTTTTTGATATCACAAATCATGCATACATCTGCAGAGGTGCGATGGTGACATTCTTGGGGTGTAAGTTCAAAATTTCACCAACAGCCTAGGGGTCATTGCAAGTAATAACTTGCTGTCAATTTTACTTGTGAGTGAAACTTGTTTTTCCCAAACCAAATCCTGTATATTCTAGAAGTAACTTGATGGATATGTGTTGACTTTGTTTGAGTACTGTGAAGTTGTGTCTGTTTGTTGGTGGCAACTGTTGGGTGTTTGGCAGTTCTTTTGGTGGGTGCTTGAGCCACGTAGTACTTACACATACATTTACATCGGTCTGTGCTTCCACTAGTTCAAGTAAGTGTAAAACGTTATACATGTAGTTGCTTGCGAAACAATTTTTTGAAGTTCTTTGCTTGAAAATTTTGGCCTGCCAAGTAATTTTTTTTTTATAAATACTTAGAAATATGTTTTGATTTTTAACTTGAAAATTAATACATTAGTTTCTGTGCTGCCTCAAAGCGTCATATCAATTAGTCGTTATGGAATCAGTGTACAAGTACTCCCTCAACGGTAAGAAAGGGAGAGTTTGGTAGACCACTGGGAGAGACATTCGAATGCGTTGATTGCTGAAGATGCCTGATGCTCAGGTAAAGACGCTCTCGTGAAGACGCTAGTCATGCATATTCGCACTGTACGTACACATGGTTTGTCCCATCCACCGTAAATACAGTTTAATACAATGTGAAACAATTAATGTAATACAGTGTAATACAATGTAATACAGTGTAATACAATGTAATACAATGTAATACAATTAAGTGTTAATGGGTTTAATAAATGAAAGTGCACCCGGTTCCCTTAAATTTAAATTTCTACAGTTCAGAGTTTCCTGACGTTTCCAAAGTCCAGTAGCAGAATAACGCACAATGACTCACCAGGAAATAGTTTACTCGGATGAGGAATCTTTGTGCTGAAATGGCTGTCCTACATCGATGACAGAAGTACCTTCTGTCCGTTGCGTTTGACTGATTTTGAACTTGCAGCAGGACCCATGTTTGTCAACATCCTTGACTGTTTGATTTAGATGTTTCACCCATGGCTGCCAGTGATAAAAACAGCAAAGTCGACTGTTTGTTTTTCATCAGAGCGTGCAGCATCCTTATCAATCGGCCACATTTCTCTTCCTTGAGGGTGTCATATTATTCTCCAGAGGAACTACCTTAAAACCTGCTGTGTTTTTTTTGTAAAAAAAATTATTTACTCTTTCCTCAAATTTCCCTCTTCATCTTTTGGACTAATCTTGGCCCAAGACCAGATTTTGATTTTATTTCCCTAATGCAGCCGGTCGGAGACAAAACGATGATTCAAGTCCAATGTCGGGAATGTTGGCAGCAGGACCCAGGAAATTCTGAGCATACTTCACTCCTGGGTAGCACTGCCAATGTTCCCAAGACTGGATTTGAATCTTCTTCTTAATAGCGCCCACTACCTTGGGCTTGCAATGGAACTGGCTATACACACAGGAACAAAATCCCAATTGTCGAATCTTGGACTAATACTACTTTTTAAGTTTGACACAACTTTTTGAGTTTGACTCAACTTTGATATTTTCATCAACTACAACTGTAATGCGGCAGAAAGTAAAATTTAAAATAAAACAAGTATTTTGATGTTCACCAAATTGCAACCGCAACTAACGACCACAACTAGCCTGAGCAATTTGTAAGTTTCTGTGCTTCCCTAGGTATTTTTGCTAGGATGCAACCTCAATCCTGTAAAATCCTCCAACTGCCTCCATGTAGAAATTGCATACAGCCTCAATCCTGCAAGATCATGCGTTGTTTCTTGAATGTTGTCCTTGGAGGGATGACCACTGCCTCAATCCTGGAAAACCCTCCAGCAATCACTGTATATATGTTGAGGCAGAGCCAATGACATCCTGGAGCAGTGCGGAGGATTTCAAGTATAATCTAGGCCTAAATTTATGTACGGCTGAGCGTAAACAACACAAGGTCCGGACCAAGACCTTGACACAGTGCATCCTCCGAAATCTGCAACACAATCCTGCAAAATCCTCTATTTTGCAGAGATGATTTTTGAGGATTTGGGAAGGTTAGGGTGAAAGAGGCCTTTAATTGATTCTGAAATCAGCCATTGAAATTTTTGCCATAAAGCCTCAATCCTGCAAAATCCTACATTTTGAGAATAGGATTTTGGAGGATTTGGGTTAACAGCATGT